AGGACAAGAGGTAGTGTGGGTGTTACCTGTGCTGGAAAATGTCTAGATTCACATTCTCTTCTTTTCTTTGTAGCTGACTAAAATTTAGCTTCCTGGATGGAGCGGGGATAGTCATGCAGGGCATTGTTTTTGTAGTGTCGCTTTAAACGTGGAGCGTTGCGTTGTTTTGTTTATTACAATGTAGCGTCTAAGATTGTAAGGTTCCGCTCTAAGCTTGAGGATCATTTGTGCAGGGTGTTAAATTTCACTTACATGTTAACAACATTCGTGGCCAAAGGAGCTTCATTATGCTAAATGCTACAGCTGATTTTTTGATTGTCAACAAAGTCTTATGAAAAGACCCTGACAATCAGTCAGTGTATCACACAAATACTGTGTGCCTGTTGCACTGATGAGTACAAACAGTCCAATGTACATTGTCCGCCTGTAACCAGCTAGAGTACCAAATGTGTATTGATCTGCAGCAGGAAATAGTCCCTTTTATTTACAGTATGCAGAAAACACAGAAAAATTCATTCAAGCAGATTTCTTTAGGTCATGGATATTGTTTTCGGGTCCACTCCTGTACATTGTGTTCATTGGCTGTAGTGGGTTTCCAGAAGATGCTGGTTGAACATTAGATGAGTGTTCTGTTGATTTTGCAAAAATAAGCATTTTTCTGAGCCTCTGGCCCAGAATGTTTTTCGAAGGTGATGCTGAAACCAACTGGTCATTTTTCTTTAATTGTCACTTTTTCTTTTTTTCAGGTTTGCACGTGCAACTAACTGTTCTAGATTGTTCCAAAATGGTGTGTTTTGATATTAAAGTCTCAATCGAAAATGTGGAAACTGAAGAATTTTTGTTCTCATTGGGAAAATACTTTTTGTAAGGGGGATTTGCTGACTTTACATTACCAAATGTAAATATCTTTATAAGATAAATTTTAGGGGAGGGGAAGAACTATGCTGACCTGTGAAATGTACAGTATTTTATGTCATGGAAATTTTTATAGCTTTTTGTAATTAAAAAAAAAAGTTTTTGGAATCGCAAAGAAGTAGAGGTTTTGGTTCTAGTCGTGGCATGCTGTCGAGCTGTCCTAAATCTTGTTGCCCGTCTCATTATGTTGAGTTGTTTTGCTGTTCTGTTACTTTGTTGTTGAAAATGACAAAGTATCTGTGGAGATGTATTAAAAGTGCAAATACTTTATTATTCTAAGTGGTGGTGTTTCAGTGTCAGTAAATGTGATCTTTCAAAAACTAACACAAAATGCCAGAATTGTTTGAGTCACAAAGAGAGGGTTTGTCACTTGTATAGCTGACCTAACGTCCACACCAGGGCAGAATATAAATGAGGTGACAGAAGTTTCAATGATCCCTTTCACTGGGAAAGAAGACTTGATATGAGAAAGTAAGAATAGAATGGACTAACTGTAGTAACGTGTCAACCACGCAATAAAAAATGTAACAAGTAAAACTAAATGCGCTATATTAATGCAATCCATCATTAATATTATTATTATTATTATTATTATTATTATTAAACTGAAAAGGAAGAAAAATACATTTCTTAAAGAAAATTAGCTAAACAACAACAATAAAACCTTAACCTACTTTACAGTACAGTAGTGGATTGCAATTCTAAAGTAGTTGTAATTTAGTATTTTCCTATTTTTTTTTTTTACTGTAATCATCCTGTCCTGCAGGTTTTAGATGTGTACTTCATCCAACACAGCTGATTTAAATGACTAAATTACCTCCTCAACAAGACATGTTGGGGAGGTAATTTAGTTCTCCAGAGGCCTGGTAATGAACTAATCATTTGATTCAGGTGTGTTGACCCAGGGTGAGATGTAAAACCTGCAGGACAGCAGCGCTTGAGGCCTGGAGTTGGATACCGCTGCTCTAGGGCATTGCCATTCTGGTGATCTGAAAATGTACACACTATGAGGAAAAAGGGTGGCTCTGACTCAGAAGACTGTCATTCCCACAATGAAGCACATCTTGCTATGTCTGCATACATGATAATGTTTATTTTGCACATTTAAAAAAATGAAGTGATATTTAATCATATGAGAAATTAGCAGCTGAAACCTTGAATTTTGTAACTAAAGTCACAAGCATGACTTCACTTTACAGTGCTTTGTGGAACCAGAACTGCCCCCTGCTGGCCAAGGGAAACAAAGCTTTAAGGGACTTCCACAGTGACCTACTTTTCAGATCTGGGAACCATATACATCAGGGATGTCGGACTCCAGGCCTCAAGGGCCTGGAGTCCGCCTGATCCTGCAGGTTTTAGATCTCACCCTGGGTCAACACACCTGAATAAAATGATTAGCTCATTACCAGGCTTCTGCAGAACTTCAAGACATGTTGAGGAGGTCTTTTAGCCATTTAAATCAGCTGTGTTGGATCAAGGCCTCGAGGCCTGGAGTTTGACACGTGATATACATCTTTTAGTTACAGTTTATGGAACAAATAAAAGTACAGACAGCTTTACAAGCTTACTCTGGTATTAAAGAAACCTAAGGTCAGTTCTGGAGTTATAAATGCATTAGATATTAGAATGGACACAACTGCTAATTATATCCTTGAGAGAAAAAATAATAATTAATTAATTAATTACAAATGTAAACTGATTAGGGACTCTGAACTGGTTGCATGAGCTACCTGCACCTTTCATTAAAATGCAGTCCATTAAAGATGTGTGTAAAAGCCAAACAGTACCACAATAAGGATTTCAAAATTGATCAGTTTATTTGGATGCAATGACAATTTGGACAAAAAGGTCCATATACAGAATTCTTCTACTTGACAGATAAAGCTCTCACATCACAGTCAACCACAACTCTGGGAGAGATGTTACACTGGCTGAAGTTGGCTTACCCCACCTGATCACATCCACAATACCAGGATTACTTTAACAGGGCTGATAGAAAGCGGCTATCAGCACAGAGCAAATGTCAACCTTCCTATCATTTCCTGTTGTGCTGTTCTTTCACTTTTTCACAGAATGAAATTAATTATTATTCTAATATATGGTTATTAATATGAACATTTTACAATGAAGTCTGGAATGATAACAACATTAACCACTTTGTGAACATATTTTATACCTCATCTCCGCCCAAAAAGTCTTGCAAGCAGGGGTTCACGATCTCACTTCATACTTTTCTTATTATTTATAGTTCTGAGAACTATGTAAATGAATACCTGTCCTTGTTTCCTTGATCAAAAGACAAAGATCACAACTTGCATGTCTAATGAAGAAAAAAAAAAAAATCCTGTGCGATACATGGTGTATCTGTTAAAAACTGTTGGACACTGTCCAGATACAAAGTTCAGCTGGGCTGCCCTTCTCTTTGAGGCACCTTAGGAAGGGGATGTGTGGACAGACGTGAGAAGATGATGGTAGGGTGCCTTGAGCAGTCTGCTGAGCCTGAGGTCAACCAACAGTCAGGAAAGAAATACTAATCCCGCTCTGTTACAGACTTACAGTGTCAGTTCTAGAGAGCTTTGGCTACACCCACCAAAGCTGGTCTGAGGGTACGACCATGAAGCTTGTAGCCCACTTTGGTTACTACGGCAACAGTGCCAGGCTCTTTACCCTCGACAGGGGCGTGGAAGAGGGCCTCATGCTCATAGGGGTCAAATTTCTGGCCATCTGGGTTGAGCTTGATGAGGCCGTGCTTGGTGAACACCTTCTGGATCTGGACCTCGGTCATCACCAGGCCGTCGTACAGGTTCTTCAGGTGAGGGTTCTGGCTTGTCACCTCCTCCTTGGGCACGCTCTCTGTGGCCTTCTCTAAAATGTCTGCAACTTCCAGCAGGTCCTTGCAGAAGCTCTGGATCCCTAGTGAGGGTAAGATGTTGGATAATTATTCAGGTTACACCTTCAACTATATTGCATTTTTCTACCAACAATTAACTCTAAGCTTGTATCATTTTTAAACTACTCAGCATTTTCTTGAGTCATTTTAACTATAACCCAGCAACATATACCAAAATCTAAAAGATATGATGTCACTATACAAAAACAACTGAATTAAATCACATAAGAAAATCATTTTTCTAACAAGGCTAAAGTTGACCGCTTCTGACATCTAGTGGTAGGAACATGCAACAGCAGATTGTTAGGTGATAAGGCTAAAACAAACATTGCATCACTCGTGGCACCTGTTTACTCACCGCATTGCACATTGATGGCTTATACTAGTGATAAGGGTGTAAATTGGTGCTGCAGTGATGACTGATAAGTATCTCCATTTAGACAAAACCTCCACATCAGCATTGGTGAAGGAGGAGAAGTTGTCAAAACCAGAAGCAGAGAAATCCTTTTTTCCACTCATAGAAAGTCTCACAGTCTTTAAAGTGTTGTCAAGTTTCCCTTTGTTTAACCTGTGATTCTCTGAGCTTCTGTAATACTTCTCTGATATATCATTAAACTATTGCTATGTTCATGTGCTCATGTCTTCAACCTG